AAAATTAAGCAAAAAAAAAAAAAAAAAAATTTTACACATTAAAGAAATTATTCGAATTACAAAAAAAAAATTTCTATTTTAAAATTAAATTTTTTTTCAAATTGATTACAATTAAAATAATGGGGTGAAAAAAAAGAAAATTAACGGAACATTTTATTTATTATTAATTTTCAACATTTAAATAGAATCATTTAAAAATTAAAATTTAAAATATTAGAATTTTACCCATTGTGATCGTTTAACACCAGCAACAGCTTCTATACCCTCCATAATATCATCACGAACCTTAAAAAATTTTTTATGAACTATTAATAAGAGAATCGTCTTAGAAAATATTAAATATATTAAATCAAATTACATATCAAAATTGTTACTAAGAAAATATTGAAAAAGAAAATAAGAAATTAGGAAAAAAAAGAAATTAAAATTAAATAAGAACTTCGCTAATGACTTGTTCCACTAATGTCTCTTGATTATCTGGCTCAATTTCAACATCAAGTAATCGAACCAATGGCTTAATTGTAGCACCCTGAAAAATTTTAACAATATATTTGTTATATTTCAATAAATATTCCATTATTTCATTAATAGTAAATTTAATTTTTTTACAATTACTTCATGAAAAATTATCAATAAAAAATGAAATAGTATTATAATTTTTGAAGTATTTGTAATTTAAAATTTTTTTTTAAACATTTTTTAAGCAAAAACAAATTTAACATTTTAAACATTTTTTTTTTAAAAAACATTTTAAACAAACATTTTTAAACAATTTTTTGTTTTTTTTTTTTAAACATTCGATTAAGCATACGTAATAAGAATTGAATAATAAGAATTGAATGAAATAGTAATAATACATTTTTTTTTGATAGTTTCAAAAATAAAACAATACTTTAATTAATTAGGTTAATTAAAGCTTGGTGTTTCGTTTTTTCTTTTTTTTTTGATAACCATGTATTTGTTTGATATTTACCTGTAAAAAGACAGTAGTTAAAATAACAATAATTGTAGTTGAAGTAAACATTTCTTTTGCTAATACCGCTTCCTCATCTAATGTCATCACTAAACCATAACAAATAGCGCCACGTAAACCACCGTATGCCATTATAAATTGATCAACAAGATTAATTTTTCGATGTCGTCCACGATTTGCCAAACATGTCAAAAAATATGTTCCTAAAATTTTTGTACACTTTTTTTAATTTCTTATAAATTCAAAAGAAATAATTATTCATTTGATAAATTTTATTCCATTAAAATAATTGCTAATAATTATTAATTAAAATAAAATATACCAGTAAATCTGCATATTAAACATGCAAATAATGTTGTACCAATAAAAACTGAATTCCAATCATGTTTTTTTGACACTGTTGACAATCCCAGGAAGACAAATATTATTGCTTCACAACTAAATTCATAGAAATATTAGAAAATTGTGATAAAATCATTGATGTAATATAATTTATTATTTTTTCAAAAGTATTTACAAAAAATCTTACTTAGAAATATATTTTGCTATATATATATAGCATTTTGCGCGATAATTTTAATAAATTTTGGATGAAATCTAATTATATAATTAATAATTGTAATAAACTTTAGGTGGAATCTAATTGCATAAACAATAATTCTAACAAATTTTAGATGGAATCTAATTGCATAAACAA